AGATGTTCCTGAAGGCAGACTCCTGAAATAGGCTGGTGTATGCAGGGCCAGGGTAGGTTAGCGGCTGAGGGGGCCCCACCCTGACCTTCCTCCCTAGGCCAGGGTATCTTTGTACCCAAACTGGGGGTCCACACATCAATGAGGAACAAGAGTGGAGGCAGGGAATCCCTTCCTGGGTCCTCTGCTTCCCTAGGGACCTGGGGCTTCTGCTGGGGACAGGGGAGCTGCCACTGGGCTTGTGACAGGCCCCCCCCCCGCTCTATTTTAGGCCCAGGAGAGAGGTGAGAAGGCAATTTCCCAGGAGGCGCTGACATCAATGCTGGAAACGAGGTGACTCCCCCCACCACCTGCCACTCCAGACCCAGATGCTCCACAAAGCTGAGCCAGCTCCTTCTTCACTCTGGAGATATCGCAGACCCCTTCCCCAGGATGTAAAGTGAGGGGGCTCAGGATTGAGACCCTACTATGTGGAATTCCCTGGAAGCTCATGATTACTCTGGAGGAAGAGACTGTGCTCCCCATTTTACAGAGGGGAAAACTGAGGCCCCCAGAGGCTACAGGAGCTTTCCAAAGTCACACTCCTGGTTAGCGAGAGGCACGTGCCAGGCTCCATGGCCCCACTCCTCTCTCTGACCACCTCTCTCCCCCATTTCCACCTCCATTCTCTACCTGGGACTAGAGGAGTCTGGTACGTCTGGTCCCTCACATCCTCCCTATTTGGCACCATGGAAATCGAGGTGACTGTCCTGCGCCACCTGTGCCGTGTCAGTAAGCCCTGATCAGGTGTGCCTCCCAAAGGGCCAGGTGGGGTCTGTAGGTTCCCAGCAGAGGGCTCTGGGGCTCTGTGAATCCGTGCAGCCCCTAAGCCCCTGTGCCCACGACCACACAGCCAGCCGTCTGTGGGCAGCCTTTCCAGCTGAGGCATGTTCCTACCACATCCGTGGCCCTGGTGCCTTGAATTTCCTGTCGGGAGACCCTCCTGGCTCCCAAGGTGACTTCCTGTGGCGCCCTGAGCCAGCCCTGTGGAAGGCTCCTTGGGGAATTTCTTGACCTCCAAAAAGCCACTTATTTTCCCTAGGTGCCTCAGCTCTGAGCAGACCTGGCGGGACATTTTTCAAAAGCTAGAACGTGTGCCAGCATGCACATGCACGAGGGACAGAGAGAGCGAACTCTCGATGAGGTCCCATCACGCTGCAGTCCCCTTTTCCTGGCCACTTAACTGCTGGGATCCTGGGTGCCCCCACGCTGGCTATGTTTTAAGTCTGACTTGGGGATTTGAACTGCGGTTGGCCACTCGGCTTCTAACCTTACAGACACTCGTGCTACTGCTGCGCCACAGTGGCTGGGCCCAGGGTAGACCTTTGATGCCTCCTGGCCACACTCCATTCCCAGCCCCTGAGGTTCCAGGTCCCCCACCTCCCACCACCTTGTGTTGTCTCAGCTCTCCTTCCACCTGCCGCCTCCCAAGCACTGAGATTGCTGTAGTGTCTCTCACCTCCCTTCTGTCCTCAGGGGCTGTTCCTGTCCTCAAACTGGTAGCTGTGGACTTCACAAGAGCAGGAACTGTTTCCTCCTGCCTCCTGAGAACAAGGGCTGTTTTCTCCTTGGATTGGGGCAAGCCTGCGTCTCCCTCTCAGAGGGCTCCCAGGGATGTCCCTGCCCACCCCCACACAGGTGGGGCTGGCTCCTTAGGTCCCTCGGCCCCTCACTGGAGGCTGCTGCTGCTGTCTTTTTTTGGAGAGGTTTTTGCTATAGGGCGCGTGCACTCGCCAGAAAGAGAGACAGACAGAGAGATAGAAAGCGAGAAATCACCCCCCAGAGGGGATGGCCATACCACAATCCCTTCTCCTCCTTTCTCCTCTCGGGATCTTGGGCACACACACACGTGCCTGGCGTGAGTTTAAGCCACAAAGTCTGGGACTCAAACCGCAGTTGACTACATGGGAGTCCAGCGACATAGCCATTACGCTAACTGCTGGCTCCTGTTTCTGCTGTCTTGATGTCACCTGTGGGGTCAGGTCACCCTTACTGAAGGAGCTGTGTGGTCTCACTGAAGGGTTGGGTCTGGTCACCTACAAACTCTCCAAGAATCCCCCCACCCCAATCCAGGATCCTAGGAGGCCTGGGCCAGGCCTCTTTTCCTGCAGCTCTTCATGCCCTTCAGCCTATTCTTTTTTCTGCCCTTGCCTCCAGGAGGACTTCAGGGATTGCTGGCATTGGAACTACCAGATGTGGCTGATGTTGGCTCACCTGGCCCCAAGCGGCACCATGGACAGAGACTCCTGCCGATGGAGGCCATCCAGGCTGGGCGCCAGGCTCTGAGGCCTGGAGCAAAGACCAAGCAAGCCCGTCATGGCGCGATGGATGAGAGCAGGACCAGGCTGAGGTCCCAACCCTGGGTCCCCACCTACTGGACGTGAGACCCTGAGCAAGTCCCTCAGCCCGTCTTGAGGCTCAGTTTTCTCATCTGTGAAACAGGTCAGAAAAGCCTTCCTTTGGGCTGGCAGGTGGCACGGGGCTTAGTGTGGCTGAATCCCACATGGCCGACTGAGCAGTTCGAGTCCTGGACCCTGGTTTCCCAGCAGTTTGGGAAACACTGGGCGTGTGTGCTGAGTGCCAAAATCCTGAGAGGAGAGGAGAGAAGGGATTGTGGCGTGGTGGCTATTCTCCCTGGGGGATGATTTCTCACTTTCTCTCTCCTCTTTCTACCCTGACAAGCACATGCTCGCTGTAGAAAAAAAATTTTTTTAAGAATTGTTTTAATTTGACCAGAGAGGGACAGAGAGAGAGAGAGAGAGAGAAGGAGAGAGGGAAAGTGAGAAAGCAAGCCACCAGGTCCCAGACTCGAACCATGGTCGACAATGTGGGAGTCCAGCACCCTTAACCACCACGATATCTACTGGCTCCCACAAATATTTTTAAAAAATAAAAGCAAAGCCCTCCCTTACGGTGCTGCTGAGGGGTAGATGCTGAACAAGCCTCACGTGCTGTTTTGATGTCACCTGTCGGGTCAGGTCACCCTTGCTGAAGGAGCAGTGTGGTCCCACTTAAGGGTTGGGTCTGGTCAGCAGTCTCTGGCGTGCAGAGAGGCTCAGTCAACCTGGGCCTCCCTTGCCAAAGGTGCCCCAGGAAAAGCCCCTGGCCCTTGCAGTGGGAGCCTGGGGACAGTGTCATACAGTTCCCCTGAGTGGGTTCATCCACAAGTTCACAGTGGAAAAGTATGCTGCTTGGGGGGAGGGGGGCTTTACAAGGTAAGAGATTAGTGAAAAGAAACCAATGTCCGGGAGGGAGACTTCACAGGTGTGTGTGTTTGGGGTCATTAAGGTAGTTCATTGTGACAATATGCCAACTCTGTGCCAAGTGCCTCATTAACATACTCGATTTGATTCTTGTGACCTCCTAGTCAGGTAGCAATTCCAGAGTGAGAAAACTTCTCCAGAGTTGGCCGAAGGTCAGTTAAGTGGCAGGACCTGGATTTGAGTGTAGGCCCAGGTGGCTCTGAAGCACGTGCCCTGAAAGCGTACGCTGCAGGCTTCATGGACAATATGCACCCTGGCCTTGGAAAGTGGGGCATTCTGGGGCAGGAACAAGGGCAGCCTCGAGAGTGACCTGCCCAAGGTGGCCAGAGACAAGGGGGTTAGTCCGGCTGACTGGCCGATTCCGTAGAGGGAGATGATGGGACAGGGACACTGGGGTGGGTGTCAGGGGGAGGAGGGGGTGAATAGGAAGACTGGTTGAATTCGGCTCAGGGAGTGGCCAAGACCCGCAGAAGTTGAGCGGTGGGGAACATAAGGGGAGCAGTCTTCCACCAAGTTCTTAGGTATCCACATGTGACAGCAGCAGGCGGGGCGGGCCGTAAGAAGGGTGCTGGAGGTCCAGGTCTGATTCCCAGCCCACCCTATAAGAGTCAGAGGGGTGCCCACTACTTGGGAGGCTGAGGCAGGAGCATCAGGGCCTCTGGGTCAGTGTGTGCAACAGCAAGACCCTTCCATAGAGCTGGCCGTGGGATCCAGATACGCAGTGGAGGCAGGAGGGTCGCTACTCGGGAAGACCCTGTCTACAAACAAATCCTTTGGGGGGCCAGCAATTGGTGTAATGGCTATGTCTCTGGACCCCCATGTTGTCGCCCGTGGTTCAAGTCCTGGACATAGTTCAAGTCCTAGACCTGGTGGCTTCAAACTCATGCCAGGCATGTGTGCATGCATGCCCAAGATCCTAGGAAGAGAAGGGACTGCGGTGTGGCCATCTGCCCTGGGGGGTGATTTCTCACTTTGTCTGTCTTTCTGGCGTGTGCCCTGTAGCGGAAACCTTTCCACACACACAAAAAAGTTCCTTGGGACCATGGTACTTTATTACTGGAAAGACCTCTGAAATTTTCTCACCCTCCCTTAAATGAGGAGGAAACCGAGGCCAGGCCCAGGAATAGTAAAGGGATTTGCCCGAAGTCACAATGGGTTAGAGGAGTGGCTAGACCCTGCTTCCACCCTCCTTTGAGATGAGAATTCTGAAGGGAGTAGGAGGTGGAGCTCTGGTTCAGGTCACATCTGAGAGAAGTGAAAGCACGTGAGGAGGTGAGAACGAAGGTCCTAGAAGGTCCCAGGACAAGTCTAGGGAAGGCAGAACTGGAGGGCTGTCCAAGGCAGTCTGGGAGCCACTGAGGCACACACTTGCTCTGTGCTGAGGGGCCTGGTGGGGTGACGGGGGACAGGCTGCAGCGAAGGCAGGCGAGGGGCCAAGGAGCAGGTTGCAAGGAGGTGGGAAGGCAATCAGCAGGCCACCCGATGACTTTGGAGACCATCTCGGTGTTTCAGGCCTTTCAGGCCCAGCAGCCGCAAGGTCAGAGGGGGAAATGTGAAGGAAGTGTGTGCCGACAGCAGGATCGGCCAGAGCAGGACAGAGCCTTCAAGCTGCTCGATCGATCTGCTCATACTCTATTCTCAGGGATGGAAGCGCGAGTGGAGTTCTCAGGAAGGGGGTGAGCCTGAGAGAAGGAAACTGACGAGGGCAGCTGTGGGGGGACTGGAGTGTGGGGACAGTGACTTGGGAGAAAGTCTTCCTTTGCAAGAGATGGAGTAAGGCGGAGCTGAAGGACTGACACAAGAGGCGGCAGTGCCTACCGGGCTGAGTCCAGGTCACCTGTGAGGGAGGGGTTGTGGGGAGGGACCACAAGGAGTGAAGGCGAACGGTCCTCATGTAGACAGAGGGGCCCACTTAGGTCCAACAGCACCTGCTGTGCGGGTCAGGTGGTGTCCTGGGTTCCCGTCACCTACCTACAGCCTGGATGCAAGGACGCAGGAATGGCTGAGTGCTGTCACCCTGGGGTCCGGCCTGCCAGGGATGTTGAGGTCCCAATTGCTGGGATGGGAGGGGAAGGCCATGGCAGCTGATGAATGGAGTGGGGGAACAGGCCTGGACAGATGGTGATGAAGGCCTCAGAACCGAGTGTCATGGGCTTTGGGTGAGCACAGGTGACAGTGTCAGAGAAGCCAGAGAGGATCAGGGCATCTCTACTCGCCACTGAAGGATTGTCCCCAGCAGAACCCAGAGCAAGCTGCTGTCTGGGCCCTGGAGAAGGGGAGAACCACTGGGGCAAAGGAGTAGGAGACAGAATGCCCTCTGCAGGGACCTCTCACGGGCAGTAGAGCCCAGTCGGTGCCGGGAGACTGTGCAGGAGATAGGCCCTCCCCCGGCCTCGCTGGAGGGTGGTGGCACTCACACCCTCATCTTGCAGGAGGCCCATCATGCTGGCCTGTTGGCATCCCTGCCCTAGGCACCGAAGGGCAGATCAGGGACCCTCCATCAAGCACACTGGGCTCTGGCCCCATCCCTCTATTTGTTATGAATGAATTTATTTACATTTCCTGAACCAAAATTCATTGTGAAGTAATAACAGGAATGGCATAAAAAGGCCAAACATGACCTCTAAGAAGGGTTGTACACACAGCTGCTCTATTCCAAACGAACCACTCTGGTCCCACCCATAGCCAGGCCCCACCAGGCTCTGCCGCTTCGGCATTTAAAGAGACAAACATGCAGAGGCAGAGGAGGGTGAGAAGAACCACAGTACAGATTGTAATAGGAAAAGAGGTGGCCAGAGATCGATCGCAAACCCATTTCTGTCTCCAGATTAACGGTTTGGCTGCAAGACGTGGGGGGAGGTCCTGGGGAAGGAGAGCGGGAGAGGGTGATGCGAAAGTTGGCAGGTGAGACACTGACCCTGGACCAGCAGAACTCGGGGTGGGCAGCTTGAGCCGAGGAGGCAGATCCCCAGGAGGGATCTGGCCACATCTCGGGCCCAGGGGAAAGGTCAGCGCTGGCCACAACTAAGTGCAGGAGCGGGCACCGTGAGTGCCACAGCCCGAGCCCCTCCTGTTTCCCATGTTCCTGAGATCTGTGTGCAAAGCGTGGGGGGCTGGGGGAGGGGACAACCACCAACCACCAGGCATTTCGGAAAGCAGACCACATGCTTGTGGGAACGGAGGCTGGGTGGGGGTGGGGAACACCGACTAACCCTGGGCTCCACAGAGAGCAGTGCCTGAGGAGGCAGGCAGGAAGTGGGGCCAGGGCTCCTGCTGCCCCAGCCCTTGTGGTCCAGTCCTATGGCAACACTGCCTCTTCCTGCAGGTGTGGGCAGGGGAGACAGGCAGGAGACAGCAGCCCCCAGCCAGACTCTCTTGGCTTGCCTAAAGACCCACTGGGCTGTCAGCCCCGTAGAACCTAGCAGGACGACTGTTTGCCTGGGCTCCTGGCTCTTCTGGGCAGGTCCTGAGGCTCTGCCCCTCCCGTGTCCACCCCTGGCCAGGTGTGCAGCACCAAGAGGAACCTGTACCTGTAGCCCTTCAGTCTGGAGCTGCAAGGTCTCAGATCGTGGCAACTTACAGGAGCAGTTCTCTGCCAGCACTGGGCGGGGGCGGGGGCGGGAGCTGGGAGGCAGGAAGGCAGGGCATCTGGAGAAGCTGGGGGGCCCAGAGCCACCGGGAACAGCTGGCTCCCCCACTGGCCAGCAGAGGGGGGAGAGAAGTACACTGGCTTTCTGCAGGCTCTGTGGGGGGCTGGAGGTTGGCAGCCTGCAGGTGGGCTGACAGCTGACCTGGAGCCATGGAGCAGCTGGGGAGCTGGTCAGCCTGCTGGGACACTGGGCCAGGGGCCACACACTCAGAATCCTCAGATCTCAGGGGCCACCCTCCCCCAGGCCAGCGGGGCTGTGTGGCCCAGAACTTGGCTGGCCTGTCTGTGGGCTGCCAGGGCAAGGCATCTGGGAAGGAGAGGCAGGTCTGTGTGTGGCATAAGGGCAGGGGGGAGGTGAGGGGCCTGGAGTTATGGTCCGGGAGGGGGAGGGAAAGATGCTTGTCACTGGGTGTCCTGGTGCTGCAGGGGCTGGTGGCTCTTGGGACAAAAAATGAGGCTTGTGGGGAGGTGGCCCCTGGTCTCTTCTCAGCATTCCCACTGGGGAACAGGACCTTCCGCTTGTGGCCAACAAGGGCCAGGTCCAGGCCAGAGCAGAGGTCCACATGAGGCGAGCTGGTCAGGGGGGACTGGCGAGCAGGGCTCCTGGGTGCTGGTGTCTCCTGGGGGTCTACAAGCATATCCTGGCAGCTCACGGCTGGCCCAGGTACCTCGCCAGTGCCTGCAGGTTCAGGCTCTGTTGGCGTCTTCATGCTGTCCTCTGTCCCATCTTGCTCTGGAGCACCTAGGGCCAGGCTAGGCTGGCTGGGGGGCGAAGTCTCGGGACTGAGAAGGTCACGGTCAGAAGCCAGGGAACCTGCCCACCTGTGGGGACAGAAACACCCGGGAGCTGCAGGGCTCACGTTCAGAGAGGCAGCAGGTTGGGATCCTCCTGGGCTGGGGCTGAGGGCCAGGGAGAGGCATATGTGGTGCTACCCCACCTCTGTGCCTGGGACAGCCTATCCTCTGAGGCTGACCCTGCAGCACCAGCTGTGCTAGCCAGAGCACCGGGTTAGAGGCTGTTCTGCCGATGCCTCCACAGTGGAGGAGGTGTGCCCTCGGTGGTTGGATAAAGCAGTGAGAGCCAGGCTGTCCAAACTCAGCCCAGGGGTGCAGATGTGGGGAGAGTAGTGAAGTCCCAGCCCTAGCCCAACCTGAAAGAGACTAGGTGGGTTGCAAGGGAAGCTGAGCTTCAGGGGCCCTCGAATTCCCACCAAACCCCAGGCAACCCTCCTTTCTGGGGTGCTTCTAGAAGAAAAGAATGTGCTTTTCACCTGGAGGAGCTGGCGTGGGAAGGGATGTCTGCAAAGCTGTGGTTGAGCTGGGCGATGATCCGATCAACTTCTGCATATGAACGGGCCTCTCGGGCAAAGCTCTGGTGCTGGGCACTCTCAAGATGCTGCCCGGGGGTGAGAGCAGGCACAGGGCATTAGACAAGGCTAGGGTGGGATACAAGCAGACCGCCCAGCTCCCCAGCCCGGCCTCTGGCACTGGCGGACATGGTCACACCAGGGTGGAGACGGGCAGGAAAGACATCCTTTGTGGGTCGGCTTGCTTGGGACCGCCCCGGGAACTGCTGATGGGTGGGAAGGGGCTTACCACACGGAGCTCGTCAAAAGCCTCCTGGCAGCACTCACAATACCCTTTCTTCCTCCTGGACACGGCGCGGGTGACCGAGCGCAGGCTTGGCTCTCGGTCCCTGGGTTTTCTGAGGACAGAGTGAGCAGACAGTGGTCACCGCTGTGGCCCTCAGAGGAAGCACTGCTGCTCAGAGCTTGGCGCCCAAGCCAGGGAAGAGGAAGATGAGGATGGCCAAGAGCTGGGCAAGCCTGCCCTCCACTTGGGACCACTTAACCAAGGCTGGCAGGACAGGCAAAAAGGATGACAAGACCTCCCTGTGCACAGCTTGTCCTAGCTGTCCCTTATTGCCCGCCTACCTCAAACTACAGGTGAGGACGGTGTGTGTGCAACGTGTGCATTTGTGTCTGAGTGCATGGCGATAGCAAGAATCCCTCAAAGGAATTCCGACTCAAACCCACACTCACTTGATCTGCAAGATGAAAGGGGGAAAGTCTCGCCACAGCGAGGAGTCCGTACTGCCCCCTGCCTCCTCCCCCTTGTTCGGACGGTCTCTGCCTTCACGCCGACCTGAACCTCACAGCAACCACCTTTAACCGACTTTCAAATCTCTTTCTCAAACCTGACTTTTCATCAGTATATTTTTTTTAAGTTTTTTTTTTTTTTTACTATAGGGTGAGTGCACTTGCTGGAGAGAAAGAGAAAGAGAGAGGGAGAAAGTGAAAAAAATCATCCGCCAGGGAGGATGGCTACACTACAATCCATTCTCCATTCTCCTCTCAGGACTTTGCATGCACGTACCTGGCAAGTTTTTTTTTTTTTTTCGGGGGTGGGGGAGGTTTTTTTGCTATAGGGTGCGTGCGCTCGCCAGAAAGACAGAGACAGAGACAGAAAGTGAGATGGCCTGGGGGCATGGCCACGCTGCAATCCCTTCTCCTCCAGGGATCTTGGGCACACACACACACACACACACACAACACGTGCTCCCGGCATGAGTTTAAGCCCTGGGACTACTTGGGAGTCCAGTAACATAGCCATTATGATGCTAACTGCTGGTCCCCCTGGCAAGTTTCTTAAGCTACTGGGTCCAGGACTTGAACCACCAGTCTGCCATGTAAGATTCAGCTGCCTTAACCACCATGCCACCTGGCTGGTCCTCAGTTCCATTATTTCTTAAGGCAATCATTTTTTAAAAAAGAATTACTATATTTAACTTTATTTCTTTTTCTTTCTTTCTTTCTTTTTTTTTTCTTTCCTGCTTTCTTTCCCCTGAATTTGAAGGGGGAAAGAAAGTTGTTTTTTTTTTTTGAGGTTTTTGCTATAGGGCGCTGCACTCACCAGAAAGAGAGAGACAGAGAGACAGAAAGCGAGAAATCACCCCCCCAGAGGGGATGGTCACGCCGCAATCCCTTCTCCTCCATTCTCCTCTCAGGATCTTGGGCACGCACGCACACGTGCCCGCTGTGAGTTTAAGCCACCAGGTCCGGGACTCGAACCGCGGTCGACTATATGGGAGTTCAGCAACATAGCCACTATGCTACCTGCTGGTCTCTATTTATTTATTTATTTTAATTTGAAAAGAGAGAAAGCAAACCAACAGGTCCAGGACTCGAACCACAGTTGGCCATGTGGGAGTCCAGCATCCCCAACCACACCAATTGCCAGCCCCAGCTCCATTATTTCTAAGGATGTGTACGGCATTGCTGTTTCGCTGTCCTAACAAACTCGATCAGTCCAAAACATTCTTCTTTAAGTATGACAGAAAACATAGAAAAGGTGATAAATCCAACTATTACATTGTCAGGAAAGTCATGATGTATTTTTCTATGCAAAAATGTGTCATGACTTTCCTGACAACCCAATACAAACAATTTTTTTTACCCCCTCCCATCCCTCCAGTTTTTCTTTTTTTGGGAGAGGTTTTTGCCATAGGGCGTGTGCGCTTGCCAGAGAGACAGAAAGCTTTTTTTCCAGGTGGAATGGTCACGCCGCAATCCCTTCTCCTCCATTCTCCTCTTGGGATCTTGGGCATGCACGCACACATGCCCGGCTTGAGTTTTAAGCCACTGGGTCTGGGACATGAACCATGGTCAACTACATGGGAATCCAGCGACATAATCATTATGCTAACTGCTGGTCCCCCTCCAGTTTTTCTTGATAAAGAATTATTTATTTAATTTTATTTATCAATATTAGTATATTTTAATTTGCTATAGGGCATGTGTGCCCACCAGAGAGAGAAAGAGAGAGGGAAAATGAGAAAGCAAGCTTCCAGGTCCAGGACTTGAACTGTGGTCACCCATGTAGATGTCCAGCACCTTAACCACCTGCTGGCCTCACCACCCTTCAGTTTTGATTTAGAGACTGTGTGATAAGACCCAGATTTCTGTACTAAAGAGAGAAAAATCATTTACTATAGGGCATGTGTTTTATATGCCCTATACAGAATATATGCCACCCCTGCCCCCGCCCCCGGGATGACCATGACACAATTCCTACTCCACCATTCTCCTCTTGGGATTATGGGCACACATACATACATGTGTTTTTCAAACAGCTGGGCTGGGACTTGAATCATGCAGCTGGCCATGTGGGATCCAGCTGTCTGAACCATTTCCACTAATTTAAACATATGCATGGCAAAAACCCTAAGTTAAAAGACAAATCCCATGGGCCAGAAGGTGGCATGGAGGTTAAAGCACTGGATCCCACAAATCTGGCTGCACAGATTAAGTCCTGGACCTAGTGGCTCAAGAACCACACTGGGCATGTGTAAGTATGTGCCCTAAATCCTTAGACTGGAAGAGAAGGGATTACAGCATGGCCGCTCCCCTTGGGGGGTGATTTCTCACCTTTTTGCCCTCTCTCTCTGATGAGAGCTCGTACCCTATAACAACAACAAAAAAGACAAACCACAAACCTCTTGTTTTTGTTTTGTTTTATATATAGACTTAATAACAAAGGGCTCATTTCTCTAATATATAAAGTATTCCTTATAAATCACTAAGAAAGTAATTAATAACCCAATAGAAAAATAAGCAAAGGATAGAAAGAAGGGTCTTGCAAAGAGGTTCAAATGCTCAAACATGAAAACACATTTAACCTAATTCATACGAAATAAAAATGACATACAGTTTTCAAGATGTCAGATTGCCAGAGACTAAAAAGTTAGGCAAGGGGCTGGGAACAGGCTCTCCAGAATAGTGCAGTCTGTGTGTCAATTGGTATCTCTGTGAAAAGCAATTTGGTCACACTAATAAAAATTGTAAATGCAGGTACCTTTGATCCCACATTTCTACCTTACGGAATTTAGTCCACAAATGTACTAGAATGATCGCAAATTTCTCCTGAACACGATTACTCACTGGAGTGAAGCTAAGCATTTGACATCAATAAGAGACTGACTAGGGGACCAGCAGTTAGCGTAATGGCTATGTCGCTGGACTCTCACGTAGTCGACCACGGTTCGCGTCTTGGACCCGGTGGCTTAAACTCACGCCGGGCACGTGTGCGTGCGTGCCCAAGATCCCGAGAGGAGAACGGAGAAGGGATTGTGGCGTGGCCATCCCCCTGGGGGGGGATTTCTCGCTTTCTGTCTCTGTCTCTGTCTGGCGAGCAAAAGTGCCCGATAGCAAAAACCGCTCAAAAAAAATATAAATAAATAAAATAAATAAGAGACTGACTAAAGCCCAGCACAGTGCACAGCATGTTAGTCTTGATGTGAGCGAGGGAAGGAAGGACACACGTATACTTGTCATTCATGACCTAGCTCTGGAGACAGACCCAGAACCGGAAGCTGGAAGCAAGGGTAGACACTATAGACTTTTCTCTTAAAACCCTTTTAACTCTTGAATGTTGAAATACAGTAATTTAAAAAGTGTAAAAACTGGGGCTGGGGGACCAGCAGTTAGCCTAAATGGCTGTGTCGCTGAACTCCCATGTAGCCGACTGCGGTTTGAGTCCCAGACCCAATGGCTTAAACTCACACTGGGTGTGTGTGCGTGCGTACCCAAGATCCTGAGAGGAGAACGGAGAAGGGATTGCTGCATGGCCATCCCCCCTGGGAGGGTGATTTCTCGCTTTCTCTCTGTCTCTCTGTCTTTCTGGCGAGCACATGAGCCCTATAGCAAAAAAAAAAAAAAAAAGAAAAACTGGGGCTGGCAGGTGGTGTGGTGGTTAAGGGCGCTGGACTCCCACGTGACCAACTGCAGTTCAAGTCCCGGACCTGGTGGCTTGCTTTCTTACTTTCCCTCTCTCTCCCCCACCCTCTCTTGTGAAAAGGGGAAGAAAAAAAAAGAAGGTAAATAAAAGGGAAAAGGAAAGAAAGAAAGAAAAAGAAATAAAAATAATCATTAAAAAAAGTGTAGAAACTGAGTATTTCTTCCAACAGTTTTCTACATGTGTGCACACATGGCCCCTCAGAATCCTGAGTCTGTCCCACCGGGGCGACCCCTGCCCTGGCTTTTCACACGCAGACACCAGAGCATTATCGCCCGCCTTTCCTCTACAGCTCTCAGCTCCTCTGCGATCCTAGTAGCTCTGCTGGCGCTCCCTGGGCGGCCTTCTGACTGGCTCTTTGGTATCCCTTGCACCTTCTAGCAAAGGTGTAAAGGATCCTAAGGCTTAACCTCAGCTTGGACTTCCTTTGATTCCCCATTTTATCCACAGAGGTCTCACCTTATCCAGTATATTCCCAAACTCTCAGTGGCTCAAACTGCAGATAAGGAGGGAGTTGCACTGCTGTGTCCCATTCCTTCCCCTCCCATCTGTGCTAGTCCTGACCCAGCCCTTCTGGCCTTAGGAACTCTTAGGCAAGACTGCCCTGTTCTCTCTCCTGGTCTGTGAACCAACTGGTCAAGCCACCAGATCCGGAATTTTCACAGGGCCTGAGAAGGCATCTAGCCCATCCCCCAAGCCATACTCCTTCTCTGTTTCTGTCAAAAGAGGTTTAAATTCTCAGTTATCTGCAGGTAGGCACATTAGCAAGTCTATAGCACTCCCCCCCCCGCCCCCTTATCCAGTTATTCCTGATGTTTAGCCCAGGAAGGAACTCAAACTATGATGTGCCAAGAAATCACCTGGGAGCTTGTGTGGAGCAGCCCTTGGGACTCCCACCATCAGAGATTCTGATTCTGTGGCGGGAAGGGGGTGACGTTCTGGACCCTGACAGGGGACTCTGATGATGGTGGTCTGTAGATTCACGTTTGAGAAACCAGTAAATTGCTCTCTGGACACTTAAGTCAAATTCTTCCGTGGGGATGAATAATGCAAGTAAAATAGATGAGCAGCACCAGTGTGTCTTTTCCGGGCGAAGTTCCCAGAATAGACTTCGCCTAAGGAGCAAACACATGGCCGTCCCCAAGTCTGACCAGCAGGCTCCCACAGGGAGGACACTGGCCTGTCACCAGCCCATGGTACACAGGAACCAGAAAGACCCACCTGGTATTGTGCGAGTTGCCCGGGGTCGTTGAGGTCTCAAATGGACTTGCATCTTTGGGTCCCAGAAAAGAAATTTCAGGAAAGGATTTAAACTGATGATGGAAAGGACGAAACTTCCTGAAACACAAAAAACTTCCACTTTGACTACAGCGGGGAAGGGAAAGGATGTGGAACTAGCCCAGTTATCCCTACAATTCCAATCCTGGTCAAATGGAGTCTTACCTTCACGTTTTTAACGTTTTTTAAATTTTATTGAATTAATTAATCAATTTAAAATTTGACCAGAGAGGGACACAGTGAGGAAGAGAGAGAGAGAAAGTGAGAAAGTGAAATGCTACATTCAGGACTTGAACCGTGGTCTGCCTTATGGGAATCCAGAGCTCTTAACCACACCACCTGCTGGCCCCTTTCTATTTTTTAGAGGTTTTTGCCTTAGGGTGCATGGACTCATCAAAGAGAGAGAGACAGAGACAGTGAGAGGGAAAGTGAGAAATCACCCTCTAGTGCCAAACTACAATCCCTTCTCTTCCACCCTCCTCCCATGATCTTGGGCACACATGCAGACACATGTGCCTAGTGTGAGTTTCAAGCTACCAGGTTCGGGACTTGGACCATGGTCATCCATGTGGGAGCCTACTGACATAACTGCTATTTTTAATTTTTTTTAAAATTATTGGGACCAGCAGTTAGGCTATGGTTATGGCTATGTCACTGGACTCGCATGTAGTCAACCGCGGTTCAAGTCCTAGACCCAGTGGCTTAAACTCATGCTGGGCACATGTGCCCAGATCTCCCAAGATCCTGAGAGGAGAAGGGAGGAGAAGGGATTGCGGAGTGGCCATCCCCCCAGGGGGTGATATCTCACTTTCTCTCTGTCTGTCTCTGTCTTTCTGGTGAGTGCACACGCCCTGTAGCAAAAACCTCTCCAAAAAAAATTATTTAGGGGGTTGGTGGGTGGCATGGTGTTTAAGAGCACTGGGCTCCCATGTGGCCACCTACGGTTCAAGTCCCGGACCTGGCGGTTTGCTTTCTGTCTCTCTCTGTCCTTCTCTGGTCTAATTAAAAATAAGTACATAAATGGACAAGATTATTAAAAAATAATAATTTATTCAAATTTATAATATTATTTTAAAATAATTTTTTTAGTTAATTTTTCTTTCTTTTTTGAGAGATTTCTGCTATAGGGCATGTGTGCTTGACAGAGAGAGAGAGAAAGCAAGAAATCACCCCCAGGGGGGATGGCCACACCGCCATCCCTTCTTCTCCATTCTCCTCAGGATCTTGGGCATGATGGTCAACTATGTGGGAGTCCAGCAACATAACCATATGCCATCTACTGGTCCCTATTTCTGTTTCTAATTTCACCAGAGAAAGGGAAAGTGAGCAAGTCATCAGATCCAGGACTCAAACTGGTTGGCCACATGGGAGTCCAGAACCTTAACTTCTATGCCACCTGCCGACCCCTATACTATTATTATTTTTTAAAATAATTATTTTTTATTTAACTTCATTATTTTCCAGTTTGATCAGAGAGAGAGAGAAAGTGAGAAAGCAAGCCACCCAGTCCAGGACTTAAAACAAGGTCAGTCATGTGGGAGTCCAGCGCCTTTAACTACCATGCCATCTGCCAGCCCCATACAGTATTATTTTTTAATAACAATAAAATGTATTAAAAGTGATAAAGCGGGACCAGCAGTTGGTATAATGGCTATGTCGCTGTACTCCCATGTAGTCGACTGTAGTTTGAGTCCCAGACCCGGTGGTTTAAACTCACACTGGGCCTGTGTGCGTGCGTTCCCAAGATCCTGAGAGGAGAATGGAGAAGAGGTTGTGGTGTGGCCATCTCCCCAGGGGGTGATTTCTCGCTTTCTGTCTCTCTTTCTGGCGAGTGTACGCACCCTATAGCAAAAACCTCTCCAAAAAAAAAAGAGAGAGAGAAAGCTAGCCACCAGGTACAGGACTCAAACTGCGGTCAGTCATATGGGAGTCCAGCGCCTTAACCACCACACTACCTGCCAGCCTCACTCACCTTTTAAGTTCTAAAACAGAAACTCTTGGCAGCCTTTTAAAGTTAAATGAATATTTATGCTCTCCGTGTCTGCGCTGCAAATGCATTTGCACTCACCACCTCTTTTGAATGCTATGACCCTCTCCTCAGGGCCGAGTGGATGAAGCACGTTAGTCTGTTTTACAGGAAAGGAAAGTAAGCCCAAAAGTTCCATGAATTACCCAAGGGCTCATGATGAGTAACTGGCCAAGACCAGACCAGTGGCTGTATCTCCCGACTCCTGATCTAGTTTTTGCCACCTTCTCACTCTGTTTCTTAACCCTGCAATAACCTTTAAGGACCCTAGGCCTGGCCGAATCTAAATGGAAGACTGTTTGAACCAGTGATTTTCCTGCTCCATGAAGGGAAGTGGTTTTGCTCTAAGCTGGTCCTTGGCATCACCTGAGGGCTGGTGTCCAGAACACAGGAGCAGAGCAGTGAGGGCTGTGGACTCAGACCTGTCCTGAGTGGTTGTGGCAGTTTGCCTCGAGTAGCAAACATTCACGATTCCTAGAGCCAGAGCTGATCCGTGCGCTCAGCAGACCCTGGTGACTGATGTGCTTGCTGGGCACACTGCGATGACTCCCACTCGGTGTGGAGTGCAGGCCATAGGTTCCTGGGGGTGGGGAGAGCCCTGTGGCCTCAGGAGAAAATGAATAAGTCTTCTGGGACCCTTGAGGGAAAAGGGGTGCCCTCCACAACACTGGCACCCTGTTTCTTCCTTCTCAGTGACATTTTATTTCTGCGCAGGAAGCTCAAAACCTCAGATTGGTGGAAACCAGCAGTTGGCGTAATGGCTATGTCGCTGGACTCCCACGTAGTCGATCGCGGTTCGAGTCCCGGACCCGTTCGCTTTGAACTCACGCCGGGCACGTGTGCGTGCGTGCCCGAGATCCCGAGAGGAGAATGGAGGAGAAGGGATTGTGGCGTGACCATCCCCTCTGGGGGGTGATTTCTCGGTTTCTGTCTCTATGTCTGTCTCTCTCTGTCTGGTGAGCACACACGCCCTATAGCAAAAACCTCTAAAAAAAAAAAACAAAAACAAAAAAACCCCAAAAACCTCAGATTGGTCAAGCCAATGGGATTTGAAGAACACGTGCTTCAAACAGTGCACAGCACACAGCGCTGGAGACCTAGGCTCCACCTGGATCCCCTCCACTCTGTGATGCCAGCAGTGCATAAGTGACCTACCCTGCAGAGACAGCATTCCGACTTGGGCCTGCCTCCTGCACCAGACAGTGCAGACACGAGGCCCTGGCAGTCTCGCTGGTGCACCCGAGCCACGCCCACTGTGCATGACTAGCCATGAAGCTGCTGGGAGCAACACACACTCCATCCCACTAGAACCAGAAGGGAGTGCCTCGGTAGCATCCCCAGGTTCTTTCCACTCAGCTTGGGGCCACCAGAGCCAGCTCTGTACTGTCTGCAGGCACTGAGAAGAGAGCCAAGACCCACCTGGGGGCTGGGCAGGCATGCAGGCCCCTGGGGCTGGGTCTTCAGCTGCTCTGTCCAAAGCTGAGGCACATAGAACATTCTGGAAGTATTCTCTGCTAGATATATGACGACTTGTTTCCTTTTAAAATTTTTTTTCAATTTTGAGGCCAGCCAGTGGGGTGGAGGCTAAGGTAGCTGGATTCCATCACATGTCTGACTATGTGGTTCAAGGTCTAGACCCAGAAGCTTGAAAAACACGCCAGCCATGTGTGTGTGTCCAAAGTCCTGAGAGGAGAATGGAGAATAAGGGACTTTGGTGTGGCCATCCCCCCTGGGGAGTGCTTTCTTACTTTTCTCCTTTTTCCTGTTTCTAGTCAGTGCAAGCACACTATAGCAAATATAATTTTTTTTTTTGGAGAGGTTTCTGCTATAGGGTACGTGCGCTCGCCAGAAAGAGAGAAAGAGAGACAGAGACAGAAAGCAAGAAATCACCCCCCTGGGGGGATGGCCATGCCGCAATCCCTTCTCCCCCATTTTCCTCTCGGATGCTGGGAACACACGCACATGCACCCGGTGTGAGTTTAAGCCACCAGGTCCGGGACTCGAACGGCAGTCAACTACGTGGGAGTCCAGCGACATGGCCATTATGCCAACTGATTGTCCCCAAATATAAGAAATTCTAAACTTTGAGATAATTATAGATTCACATGGAGTTTTGATCTCGTCCTTACTGAAGACTGACTGATAATCAAGGTGGCTGCTAACAGATCAGGCTATATCATCAAGGTGACCCTCCTGCTCCAGACAGAAGAAGCTCTAACAGTAGACAGAGAGGACAGAGCTGAGAGTTCCAGGCAGGGTGGCCGGGACACTAGCCTGGACTCTAGCCTCAGACTGAAAATCATTAGCAACATGATGGCTACACAGTCCCTTACTTTATCTGACCTCAGTTTTCTAACCAATAAAGAGATGGACTCTCCTGCCTTTTTTTTAACCCAAGGTTCTCATGAAAAAACATGGGCCAGCGAAAGGTCTTTCAAAGCCAAAGAGAAAAATTTTAAGTACATAGTGGTCTGTCAAGGGAATCTCAGCACCACGCCCAGCACCCCACATCAGCCAAGGTGACATCTGGGACTGTGCTAAAACTATGACTGGGCTAGAAACGACTCCACCTTAGAAGTCAGCAACACCCAGGGAGAAATGATAGTGATAATGAGCCTGGATGGGACACAGGAGCTCAACGAGGCAGGGTATTAAGTGAAGGTAACTGACACACAAGATCATTAACCTCTGACTCATCTCCAAGAGCAGTACCAGCTGGAGAATGCCATCAGAGGCTCCTCTTGGTCTGCAGGAGACTGCTCCATGACAGTGGGCCAGAAGCTTGTGGGGAAGATGACAGTGTGAAGCTGAGGGGCTCCATGTCCCCTGGTGAGCCTGGGGCCCATGAGCACCCCCCTCCTCCGTGTGGGGCTGCAGGGGTAAGCAAAGAGAGAGGAGGTCCCACTCACCTGCTCTCATCTTCTATTTTGAGGAACGGAGCCTTCAGTTTGGCCACTGGAGGGAAGAATGCACACATCAGCTGTCTGCCCAGACCAGGGCCCGCACTGCACTCACGGGAAATGCTCAGAGGCCAGGCTCTGCCAGAGCCCCAGAGCCTTCCGGAACTGGAAAACAGGCTGCTACAGGCTGTGCCTTTCCAATTGGCAGAGGTGAAGCAGGCCTCCGATCTCCAGCCTCTACAACTGGCAGAGCTGCCTGCCCTTAGCAGGACGCTGGCCTCCTGTGGGGACTCTGGAGGGTGGTAATCAAGACGCCACCACTGCTAGCAGAGGCCTGGGTACCAGCGGGTGGCATGGTGGCTGGGTAGCTGGACCCCCACATCGTCAACCATGTTTGAGCCCTGAACCTGGTGGCTTGAAAACCATACTGTGTGTGTGTGTGTGTGTGTGTGTCTATACAGCCACATACCAAAATCCTGAGAGATTCAAGAATGGAGAAGTGATTGTGGCACGGCCATCCCCCACTCACCAAGGGAGTGATCTCTCACTTTCCTTCTCTCTGTCTCTCCAGGAAACACACATGCCCTATGGAAGAAAAAAAAAAGAAGCCCCATTTCCCTCTGCCAATAAACCCCAAATGAACAAAAAAGAAATCAGGCTGGTAGGGGAAACCTGGTCCTTGCTAGTTTCTGCTAAAACAGGGCTGTGGTGGTCAGTCCCACTAAGACCCAGGTCCCTTCTAGACCTTTGTGCCTGGAGCCCCAGAATCCCGAGAGGCTGAGAACATACTCTGGACAGAAATCTCCACAAGGTCCCTGGGTTTTTAGTGGGGATTGGGAGTGCGTGAACAGATAGGAAGAAAGATAAAGAATATTCAGTGATTTTAGCTGCAAGATAGTAGAAAAATATTAGATGAAATCTGGCTTCTGAAAAAAATAGGGCAAAGGAGTGCTGAGAAGAAAAATTTGAAGTTAATTAATCCAGAGATTCAGCCCCTTCCAGCTAGTTATTTGTAGTTTACAAAACCTCTCAGGCATTAAGATCACTTCTATCTTCCGAGGGTGACCAAGAGTCCTGTCACAGGGGCAGCTAAGGCAGGCCAGATTCCTGGGTGGGTCTAACAGCCACAGTACCCCAAAGAGGCTGGCAACGCACTGCTCCAACCCTGCTTCAGCTACGGCTAGCACCCAAGCAGAAAGCAGCCTTTCCTCCTGGAACAGCAGCTCCCATTAATTACTTTTTTGGGACGATTTCTGGTCTTTCTAATTAACTGAGACAGTGATTAAAATCAATTCCTCTACAGACTTCCTTGAATTTTGAGCACGAGAGAGGTGCCAAGTGACTTTTCTTAGCTCTGGCTTGTGCACGAATAAATGCCACTTAAAGAGCATCTTTGGGAGAAACATTGGGGCGGGGGGGGGACTCTTCTGCTGTCCAAGAGGAGCCAGGAGACGGAGCCCATCAATCTGCCTGTTTGTCAGTTTCAGGAAGTTTGGCATTTCTGAAAGCAGGAGGCAGCTGTCAAACTGCCCACCCCAAACTGCTACTGAATCGGAAGGAAAAGGATGCGGAATTTCAATCGATTTTGAGCACGAGAGAGGTGCCAAGTGACTTTTCTTAGCTCTGGCTTGTGCACGAATAAATGCCACTTAAAGAGCATCTTTGGGAGAAACATTGGGGCGGGGGGGGACTCTTCTGCTGTCCAAGAGGAGCCAGGAGATGGAGCCCATCAATCTGCCTGTTTGTCAGTTTCAGGAAGTTTGGCATTTCTGAAAGCAGGAGGCAGCTGTCAAACTGCCCACCCCAAACTGCTACTGAATCGGAAGGAAAAGGATGCGGAATTTCAATCGATGCCCAGGAACAGCTAGAGGATGTGGGAGCCAAAGTGCCTGCAGGGGGTCCTGGGTCCCAAGGAGAAACCCAGGCCCAGCAGCTCTGGACTTGCTCTTGGACACACCTCTCACTGCAGAAATCTGAGGCCCGAGCCCTGGAAACACGAGGGGGCGACCCAACCTGGACTCGCTTCCTGCCATAGAAAAGTGAACAGATGCCACCACAGAGGGAGTCTTGGGGAAGTGTTTAGGGAGGGAGGGATTGCAATTAGATGAGGAAAAGCTACCACACTGACCTTTCTGTGTTCTTGACTCTGCTGCTGGACTTGTTCCCTAAATGGAAAGGGAAAATAGGTTAAGGATGTGAGGGAGCCATGGGGGTAGAGGAACCACGCCTGGGAGGCCAAGTCGCAGTGAGTCTGTCCCACTTTGCTTCCTGCTGCTGGGAGGCCTGTAGAAGCACTCTTGGCCTGAGCTGGAGCAGCCCCCAAGCTGCTCGAGGCTAGGTTAACAGCACAGTCTGTTCACCCAAACCTAAACGTGAGGAAGAATTACAATCTACAGATCAGGGGCCAGCAGGTGGTGTAGTGGGTATGGTGGCTGACCACAGTTCAAGTCCCGACCTGGTGGTTTGAAACTCATTCTGGGCACATGTGCATGCATTCCCAAAATTCCCAGAGGAGAATGGAGAAGGGATTGTGGCATGGCTATCCCTCTGGGGGGTGATTTCTCATTTCTTCTCTCTCCATCTCTCTCTGTGTCTTTGGCAAGTACACATGCCCTATAGCAAAAATCTCTCTCTCTTTTTTTTTTTTTTGAGAAGTTTTCGCTATGAGGTGTGTGCACTCGCCAGAAAGACAGAGACAGATAGAGAGACAGAAAGCGAGACATCACCCTCCCAGGGGGTATGGCCACACCGCAATCCCTTCTCCTCTCGAGATCATGGGCACACACACACACATGCCCAGCGTTGAGTTTAAGCCACCCGGTCCAGGACTTGAACTGTGGTCGACTACATGGGAGTCCAGGGACATAGCCATTACGCCAACTGCTGGTCCCACAAAAACCTCTCTTAAAAAAAATCAGGGCCAGCAAAGAGTGTGGCGGTTAAGGTGCTAGACTCCCACATGGCTCACTGTGGTTTGAGTCTTGGACCTGGTAGCTTACTTTCTCACTTTCCCTCTCTCTCTCGTTCTGTCTCTCCATGGTAAGTTCATAGGCCTTATAGCAAATTTAAAAAATAATAATAAATAAAATTAAGTAAGTAAATCTTAAAAAAATAATCTACAGATCATCCAGGGTCTAGCGTCCAGGCACAGGCCTTGCAGTAGCAGCAAACCACGAGCAGGGAGTGGAGAGTTCAGCCTCCAGTATCTCTCTCTCCACACCTTCTGGTCTGGGAGTGTTGGGGGATTTTGCTGCTAAATTGATTTGTGTTGTTCGAAATTCAAAAAGATCTACAATGAAAGTCTCCTCACCTCCAATTTCTGTTCCCCAGCACATGACTCTGTCTGCTTCCCCAGGGACAAGAGGTACGCTGGGTACCCTGGATGTGAATCTCGATGAGGCTGGCTTTGTGGAGGGAATTCAGGGTTGCACAAAGAGCAGGCACTTCAGAGGCTCATGGGCCTGGGTGGTAACAGAGCCATGCAATCCATAACGCTAGGGGCCCATCTATCTCATAGGGTATGGCACAGATTCCAGGAAACCATGTCCAAGGACACGCTCACAAAAGGGCAGCTTGTATTTTATAGGCGTTGCTGCAGTTCCAAGCTCACCTTATGGAGCACAGGTAAGGACAAGAGCCTTTTGCTGTCCTACACCGTGACTCTGTGGGTCAAAATCAACATTTAAGCCAAAGACAAAGAGCAAATATTGGGGCTGGAGGTGGCGTGGTGGTTAAAGGTGCTGGATTCCCACAAGGCTGACTGTGGTTCCAGTCCCGGACCTGCTGGCTTGCTTTTTCGCTTTCCCTTTCTCTGTCTCTTTCTGGTTAAATTAAACAGTAATAACAAATGGCAGGACCAGCAGTTGGCATAATGGCTATGTCACTGGACGTAGCGCTGGTCGTAGTCGACGGCAGTTCGAGTCCCAGACCCGGTGGCTTAAACTCAGGCCAGGAGCATGTGCCTGCATGTCCAAGGTCCCGAGAGGAAAATGGAGAAGGGACTGCGACATGGCCATCCCCCCTGGGGGGTGATTTCTCACTTTCTGTCTCTCTGTTTTTGTCTTTCTGGCGAGTGCACATGCCCTGTAGCAAAGCCTCTCCCCCAAAATAATAACAACAAATGGAAATAAATAAATAAAAATTAAAAAAAAAAGAGCTGATATTAAAAACTAAATGGAGTGCCAGCAGGTAGTCCAGAGGTTAAGGTGGCTGGATCCCATATGGCTGAGTATGTAGCTCAAGCCGCAGACCCAGCAGCTTATAAAACATGCTGGCATGTGTGTAGGTGTGCCCAAAATTTTGAGAGGAGAATGAAAGAGAAGGGATTGCTGTATGGCCATCCCGCCTTGGGGGGGATTTCTCTCTCTTTCCAGGGAGCACAATTACCATCTAGCAAAAGACTCAAAACAAAACAAATAAACAAAAACTGGAATAAATTTAAAAAATCAGCTAAAGAGCTCAGGGGCCAGTGAGGAGCCAGTGGACTCATGACTGTCTGTGCCTCTGGGTCCAAGGAGGTTCCAGATTCCCTCCAGGCCACAGCTGGAGGACAAATAAAATCCAAAGAAGCCCCCACAGCTCCTCACAGATAAGATCACATTCAGTCCAAAAGGTTCCCAAATAACTGCAAGACAGACTAAGTTAAAGCAAAAGAAAAATGCTGCACATCTGCATGGAGTCCTATGGGGATACCTGAGCAACTTCGTGTTTTTCCAAGTGAGGAAAGTTGGGGCTGGGGGAAGAAACTGGAGGCAGGGAACTTTTCATCACGGAGTCTTGAATTTTGAAAACTACAAATCTATTTAGCAGCAAAATCCCCCAAAACTCCTAGACCAGCGGGTGTGGAGAGAGAGGTGTCTGAAGCTATCTACTTTGCATGATTTGCTACTATGGCTAGGCCTGCTCCCAGAGGTCGGGCCCTGGGTGATCTGCAGTTTTTAATTTCTTTTTTTTAAGAATTATTTATTTGGGGCTGTAGATGGCATGGTGGTTGAGGGCTCTGGAGTCCCACATGGCCAACTGAGGTTCGGGTCCCAGACTGATGGCTTGCTTTCTCATCCTCCCACTCCAGGCAAATTTAAATAAATAAATAAATAATTCTGTTAAACAATATTTCATTTTATTTATTATTATTATTTCTTATTAATTTGCCATAGGGCAAGTACATTCACCAGAGACAAAGTACGAGAGAGGGAAAGTGAGAAAGCAAGTCACCAAGTCCAGGACTCAAACGGCAGACCATGTGAGAGTCCAGTGCCTTAACCATCACTCCATCTGCTGGCCCCATCTGCAGATTTTCATCCTTCCTCAAATTTAGGCTTAGGTAAAGAGACTGTGCCTTCAAACCAGCCTGGGCTCTCTTGATGCAGTACACATAGTTCTTTTTATTTGCATGCATGCACATGTGCCTGGCATGAGTTTAAGCCACTGGGTCCAGAACTTGAACCACGGTCAACTACATGGGAGCCCAGTGACATAGCCATTATGCCAACTGCTAGTCCTGGTACACATAGTTCTAAACCCAGGAAAAGGCAAAAAAAACATCCAGAATTGGAACGGCAGCTATTTCAAGCCACACCCTCTTTCCTACTCCTCCACCCACGCAATGTGTAAGTAAGCTCAATCCCAGGCCAAGAGGCAGCCCAAGAATGGCAGCCTGGTCAGCAGACCATGAGCACTTATGAATTCTATCTGGGCCAGGACTACCCACCGGCAATACGTGGCAGGGCAAGCACCACAGGAAGTTTGCAGGTGCCTCAGGAAGAGAAGAGAGAGCAGTGCCCCACTAGGAATGCAGTTCCAGAGGCTGCACTCTGCAGCCAGGAACAGATGGCTCAGGGGGGCATGAAGTCACACGAGACTTCCCTGAAAACCACCCACTGTCCTTCAGGTGAGCAGGATAACCTACCTCTGACTTCCTTGACTCCTGTTTCTTCACACATAAGGGACCAAGGGACAGTTGCCGCACGTGCACCATCATGTCTAGGAAGGAGACAGAGGCTGTGGCCAAAGGCATTTACTCCTCATTTATCCAGGACAGCCCATTCCTGGGCTAGAGAACTGAACTTGTTCCCCTGCAGAGCCCTGGATTACACCAGCCTTGCCTGCCACCTTCTGGCTACATGTCACCTCTACATCTCCTGACAACAGAGGTAAGGGCTGAGTCCTCTCTTCCTGGAAAAGCACCTATGCTAGCTTCATGCTCTTTTGTGCCATTAAATACAACTCACTTTGGAGCACGAGCTGCCTTATGGCTCTCTAAAGACTTTAAGGTGCTACTGAAGAGCTGCTGCTGTGAGGGAGACCAAGCCATGTAAATTACTCCAAAGTATCCCTAGGTGAAGACGCAGCAGGAGCCAGATAAACGGAGCTTTTCTAACACACAGGAAGGCAGGAAATTAGATCATGTGAGACATGGCTGATTTTCCAAGGAACTGGAGCTCCTCCACACTGCTGCCCACCACCTTCTGACTAGGAACCTCTCCCGCAGAGCCCCTTCAATTCCTTTGGAAGATCTCTGTACCAAAGGGTGAAAAAGCACCTCAGTCAGCACCCAGGCCTGCCCCATCTGTACCAAGCAACTAAAACAGATCAGAGAAAAACCCAGAGTCAGAGTAAGACAGGGTATGATATCTGTTACCACTAGCCAGTCCAGGACATCTATTTTAAGGTGATTATTACGACCTGCAAACAGCTTGTTCATGGTGACTACTTCTACTTCCAGCAAGAAGCTGATACAACTATGATCCCCCAAAAGCTGACATTCCGAAAGTCAAAGTCACCAATCCTCCCCTCTCCAAGAACCCCAGGCAGAGAAGGTACCATCCACGTGCAGAATCCTCACTCCCCAGGAGCGGGCACTGGTCAGGAGGCTGCTACTCCCACTGCTTCCTCCACTGCTGCTCCCCTGAAAAATCAAGGCAGAGTTAGGTGGGAGCACCAAACTCCCTAAGGCCTGAGGAGGACAGGGACAGGTCAAAACTGCCGGGGCCTTCAGGTGGCGTGGTGGTTAACACGCTGCAATCCCATATAGCTGACCACTGTTCAAGTCCTGGACCTGACAGCTTGCTTTCTCAACTTTCCCTCTCTCTGATGGGTGCACATGCCCTATAGCAAATTCAAAATAAATAAACGAACAAATAAAAATAAATAAATAAATACTGTTTTAAAAAAGAAATTGCTTCTGGGAGCTCTGGTCATCTATGGGAAGTTATGGGGTCAGAGGGCAGGCAGAGAGAGTGCAGTGCCTAGACAGTCCATCCCAACCTGTCCTGCACAAGGGCTGGCCACACCAACAGGGATGTTCTGCAGTGACCACCTGTGACCCAGGAGGAAAATATGCCTTTATGGGGCTGGCTGTCAGGAGTGGGGAAGCATCTATAAAGAAGCGCTGGGGCTGGCAAGTGGCGTGGTGGTTGGGGGCGCTGGACTCCCACATGGCCGACCACAGTTCATGTCTTGGACCTGGTGGCTTGCTTTTTCACTTCCTCTCTCTGTCTCTCTCTGATCAAACTGAAAAATAATAATGATATAATAATAAATAAAGTGAAATAAAATAATTTAAAAAAGAAAAAGAAGAAGCGCTTAGTTCACACAGCATGCACACAGTGAATACTAGTGACATCATCGACAAGAACCTACGCTGACTGCAGACCTTCCGCCTCCTGTAGGCGGAAGCACTAGCCCCCTCATGGCAGCCAATGAACCCATCTTTTTTTTTTTCCTTAGAGGGATTTTTGCTATAGGGCGCATGCACTCACCAGAGAGAACAGAGAGCGAGAAATCACCCTCCAACCCCAGAGGAGATGGCCATGTCACAATCCCTTCTTCTCCATTTTCCTCTCCAGATTTTGGGCATGTATGCACATATGCCTGGCATGAGTTTTAAGCCCCCAGGTCTGGGACTCAAACTGCAGTCAACTATGTGAGAGTCCAGCGATGTAACCATTACACTACCTGGTGCTCCCAATGGACCCATTTTGATGTCAGCTTAACTCTTTGCGCAAGAGCACCCTCATTCCTCTTCCTATCACAATTTTTCTTTTTCTTTTTTTTAAGAAAGATTTTTGCTACAGGGTATGTGTGCTCACCAGAGAGAAAGAAAGTGAGAAATCATCTCCCCAGGGATAGATGGCCATACCATGATCCTTTCTCTTCTCAGAATGGTAGGCATGCATGCACACCCACCCAGTATGAGTTTTATGCCATCACGTACAGGACTTGAACCATGGTCACTAGGTGAGAGTCCAGTGATGTAATCATTATGCCATCTGCTGGTCCCTCTGCTACTTAATTTTACAGGCCTGGATTCTCACAAATGGGATAAACAATGTCCAAGGTCTGGCTCATGTGTGCAGCAGATGTGTCCCACCACCACATCCCTGCAGGTTCTCTTGGTGGCTCTAGCTCTTCCACTCACTGCATAGGTGACTCTGGACAAAGTGCATACTTCTCTGAGCCTCCACTCCTACATCTGTAAGAGGGGATTAATGACCATACTGCATATCGCAGAGTGTGCATTTGGTGTTACCACTGCAGAAGAGCCAGGGAAGAAAGGCTAAACCTCTCCCCGTGTGGGAGACAGCCACCTGCATCCCATCCTGAGCTGGCTTACCTGGTTCCTGATGGCCTTCTGCAGCAGCTCCTTCCCTCTGCTCATAGGCACCTGACAGGAAGAGAAGAGCTTGAGGTATGCTATGTAGACCACCTGTGCACAAACGTGAGCTGGTGCAGGTGTTGGGGGATCATGCCTCTTAGAAAGCTAGGAGCAGTGACAGTTGAGGATCAGCAGAAAGGAGAGCCCAGACAACCTGTAGGATGCAATGGTAAAGCCATTTGCAAGTCTGAGCCACCCAGAGGAAGTGAACCCTGGTGGATTAGGGCCTCTGACTTCACCTGAGGTTAAACTGCTGCCAGTGTTCTCTGACCTCTTTACGAGTCTCTGCATTCTCCAGCAGATAATGACAATGAATGCTTCATTTTATAAAACCTTTTTTTGCTCCTTGGAAATTTTTTCCCTCAACACAATGCCAACAGTGTATGTTCCTGGACATTTTACTTACTTTTTAATATCCAGAGAGCATGAGCACTCACCAGAAACAGAGAAAAGGAGAGAGAAAGCACCCCCAGTGGGCATGATCACACCGCCATCCCTTCTCCTCCACGTTCTGGGACTTTGGGCGTATGCATTCTTGCACACATACATGCGTACTTCAGCCTCTCAATTCAAATGAGATTAAATCAGAGGTTGCTAAAACCAGAGACTGCTAAAAGAGCCCACCAAAGCCTCCTTTTTTAGTTTATGAAACACATTGTTCCTTCTCTAGGAGGTTCTATTTTTTTTTTTTGGAGAGGTTTTTGTTATAGGGCGCATGCATTCACCAGAAAGACAGAGAGATAGAAAGTGAGAAATCATCCCCCAGGGGGATGGCCATGCCACAATCCCTTCTCCTCCATTCTCCTTTCGGAGATCCTAGGCCCACACACACATGCGCTCGGTGTGAGTTTAAGCCACCGGGTCCAGAACTTGAACCGTGGTCAACTACATGGGAGTTCGGCGACATAGCCATTATGCTAACTGCTGGTCCTCTCCAGGAGGTTCTTACCGAGTCTGCGTGCCTCTGTGAAAGCCTGGCCTGGCTATGTTTTGGATCGGCCATGGATGACGTTTCCACTCTGACCTCCCCAGGGCTGGGGCAACCTCTGTGGCTTATCCCGCCGCTCTCTGCCTTGGCTTCTCTGCGGTTGGACACGATGTAACTTACTTCTTTGCTCAGAAAACTCTCAATTACCTGAAACCAGATCACAGAGGTGGCTGAATACCAAAAAGCAGATGTAGAACCATCAATATCAAGAGGCTGGGGAATGAAATCTTGGCTGCCACAAGTTCCAGAATCAATGTCTTTAAATAGACTAAACGCAGTTCTGTACCAAGCCCCAAGAAGACATCATCCTGAAATATGAATAGGGTTTATATATAATACAGGTTTGGTCTCCAGCACTGCTGCTCCCAACCCAGCAGAAAGCTATGGCCTCTGAGTTCCATGAACAGTTTGCAGTTGCGTGCAGCAAGAAGAGGCTGCCCAGGATTAAGAGAATCTTGGAAAAGCCACAATTTTTCTGTGTAATATGCACTGGTACATCCAAACACTGCATCTGTAATCTTGTCAATCCCAAAAGAAGCCTAAAAAATTGAAACAAAAAGGGTTTTGGCTAGCACTCAGCTGTAGAGGTATCTGCTCAGCCTATCAGACTGTAAGCCCCTCATGGGCACTGAGAGGATCTGACTCATCTTTGTATTTTAAGAACCCAGAACAGTGCCTGAAACACAATGACTTTAATTCATGTTTGTGAGAAAAAGAAAAGAGAGAAATAAATGCTTAATGACCAACTCTCCGGGGGTTAAAATACTCCCACTATAGCTGATTTCGAGCTGCCAACGTGACGTCTCCGAATGTGGAGCTAGGAAGCGATGCTAACAATCGGCTCTTGTGAGCCAGTACCAGCCAGCTCCAGCTCATCACCAAAAATAAGGACGGTGGTGCCTGCGAGGTGCGACTAAAGGAGAGATCTAGCACTTGGGTTAAAAAAATGTTTAGGTTCCTCAAGAAGCTAAACATAGCATTCCCATATACCCAGTATTACATTCCTCGGTACATACTCAAAAGAATTTAAAATGGGGACTGGAGCAGGTGTTTGAACGCCAGTGTTCACTGCAGCATAATTCATAATAGCCAAAGAGCAGAAACAACCAAATGCCCATCAACACATGAATGGAAAAAGAAAATGTACTGGGGAATCAGCAGTTAGCGTAATGGCTATGTTGCTGGACTCCCACATAGTCGACTGCGGTTCGCGTCCCGGACCCGGTGGCTTAAAACGCATGCCGGGCGCGTGTGCGTGTGTGCCCAAGATCCCAAGAGGAGAACGGAGGAGAAGGGATTACGGCGTGGCCATCCCACCTAGGGGGTGATTTCTTGATTTCTGTCTCTCTGTCTCTCTCCATCTGTCTGGTGAGCGCCCGCGCCCTATAGCAAAAACCTCTTCAAAAAAAAAGAAAATGTACTGTGTGTGTACAGAAAGTGTATATACACGACACGTATACACACATACGAAGAACTTTTGTATTATATAAACACACGCGTACCTATTATATATATATACTTTATTATATATACACACTATATTTTCTTTCTTTTTTTTCTTTAAGATATTTGCTATAAGGTTCATGCACTCACCAGAGAGACAGAGAGAGAGAGACAGAAAGTGAGAAATCACACCGCAATCCCTTATCTGTTCTCCTCTTGGGATTTTGGGCATACACAACATGTACCCGGTGTGAATTTTAAGTCTCTGGGTCCAGGACTTGCAGTCGACTACATAGGAGTTCAGCAACATAACCATTATGGCATCTGCGAGTTCTACTACATTTTCTTTTACACATGTACATATACACATATATCACTTATCACGTGTGCGTGCACACACACACACACACACACACACACACACACACACACAAAGAGGAATATTATTTGGCCATAAAAAGAAATGAAGTTCTGATATGCTATAAAGTAGATGAATCTTGGAAATCTGCTAAATGAGTCAGACACAGGACAAGTAACAGTGATCCCACTGAGAAGAGTACTTGAACAGATCAATTCACACAGCTGGAAAGGAGATTAGAGGTTACCAGCAGAGGAGAGGGGGAATGCGAGTTAACTGCATAGTGGTCACAGAGTTTGTTTGGAGTTTGGAGTAATAAAGTTTTATGAACAGAGAAAGGAGACGGTTGGTGACCAGCGTGAGGGTAATTAATGCCAACGCATGAGCACTGAAAGTGGTTAATACGGCATGTTTTGTTACATTCTATCACCATTTAAAAAAAAAGGTTTTTGCCAGAGAGTGCATGTGCTCACCAGAGAGAGATAAACAGAGACAGTGAGAGGAAAAGTGAGAAATCACCCCCAGAAGGGATGGCCATGCCCCAGTCTGTTCTCCATTCTCCTCCTGAGATTTTGGACATGCACACACATGCGCCCAGAATGATCTTTTATTTTTTTATGTTTTGGAGAAGTTTTTGCTATAGGGTGCGTGCACTTGCCAGAAAGATAGAAAGAGACAGAGAGACAGAATGTGAGAAATCAACCCCCAGGGGAGATGGACACGTTGCAATCCTTTCTCTTCCATTCTCCTCTTGGGATCTTGGGCACACACGCACACGTGCCTGGTGTGAGTTTAAGCCACTGGGTCCGGGACTTGAACCACGATTGACTACATGGGAGTTCAACAACATAGGCATTATGCTAACTGCTGGTCCCACACACACACAAAATTTAATGAACTCAAATACATCAAATGCCTTTACCCAAAGTCACTCACTACAGTTTTATTTCTAAGAGCTAAAAATGATGTGAAATAATCTCAGTGTTCAAAGGGCAACAGTTAAGTTAATTAATAATCTATTCAAAAGAATATTATAGGGGCCAGCGGGTGATGTGGTATTTGGAGAACTGGACTCCCACACGGTCAACCATGGTCCAAGTTCTGGACCCTGAGGCTTAGTTTCTCGCTTTCCTATTCTCTCTGGTCAAATTTTAAAAATGCTGGTAACAAGTAAAGCTAAATAAATAAATAATTCTTAAAAAAAAAAAAAAAGATTATATCCCCATTATAAATGAAAGGCAATGCTAGGAAAGTGCTATCAGATAATGGATTAAAAAAGAAAATGCATAAAAAAGTTGGTAAAAAAAACAAAACTGTACTCATGAGCCAGACAGTGAAACAATAGTGAGGTAAACTCACACAGGAAGGTTATTGGTTCAAGTCCAGAGATCTCCCTGTGTACTCCAGACACATCTGTCCTCATGACCGGGGCTGACTGAAGCTGGCGGTAAATCACGGTGTTGGGACCCCATTAAGGGTGCTCTATCTCTGCCTACCTGTCTCTTTCATGCATCGAATAAACAAACAAACGAAAAATGGTACATTCTGAAAACAAAAAGAAAACACTGTTCTAACTACATAGAAAGTAAGTATAAGCAAGGCAGGAGAGAGACAGAAAGCAGATGAGTGCTTACCCAGGGCTGAGCGGTGACCTAGAGATGTGAGTACCTGATCATGGGCACAGGGTATCTAGGGATGAAAAATGTCGTAAAATGACTATATGGGGGCCAGCAAGTGGCGAGGTGGTTAAGGGTGCTGGACTCCCACATGGCAGACTATGGTTTGAGTCCCAGACCTGGCGGCTTGTTTCCTTACTTTCCCTCTCTCTTTCTCTCTCTCGTTCTTTCCCTCTCTGGTCAAATTTAAATAAATAAATAAATAAAGTTAAATGAGGCAATTCTTAAAAAAAAAAAATGACAATATGGTCATATAACATATGCATTGCTATGAACATATTAAAAGTCACTTAACTATGTACCTTAAAAGAAAGAATTTTATGGTATATGAATTTTATGTCAATAAAGCCATTATGAGAGTTAGAAAGAAAAATTACAAAAAAAAAAGCTGGTTGCCATTTAGAATAGTTCCCTGTTCTTTAAAATTTCTAGAATGAACAGATGTTGCTTTTCTAATTAGGAAAAAGAAATTTTTTTTTGAGAGAGATTTTTGATATAGGGTGTGTATGCTCCCCAGAGAAACTGAGACACAGAGAGACAGAAAACAAGAAATCACCCCTCCGGGGGGATGGCCACGCTGCAATCCCTTCTTCTCCATTCTCCTTTCAGGATCTTGGCACGCATGTATATGCGTCGATGTAAATTTTTTTTTTAATAATTATTTTATTTAACTTTATTTACTTACTTAATTTGACCAGAGAAGAATGGAGTGAGAGAGAAAGAGAAAGTGAGAAAGCAAGTCGCCAGGTTTTGGGACTTGAACCACAGTCAGCAATGTGGGAGTCCAGCGCCCTTAACCACCCCGCCACCTGCTGGCCCCCATCCAACGTGAATTTTAAGTCACTGGGTCTGCGACTTCAACCATGGCTGACCAAGTGGGAGACTAGCAACGCAACCATTACGCCATCTGCTGGTCCTGGAAAAATAATTTATTTTAAAAAATAGTTTATATTTAAAGTTGCTTTGGAGGGGTAAGCAGATGGCTTAGTGGTTATGTCACTGGATTCTCACATGACTGATTGCAGTTCAAGTCCCAGACCTGATGGCTTGAAAATCATGCCAGGCACACGTTCATGTGTACCCAAGAACCAGGCAGGAGAATGGAGGAGAACAGACTGTGGCAGGGCTATCCCCCTGCAGGATGTTTTCTCACTTCCCCTCTCACTGTCTCTGTCTCTCTCCACTGAGTACATGCACCCTACAACAAAAATCTTTAAAAAAAAAAATCAAGATTGGGGGCCGGCAGATAGTGTGGTGGTAAGGGCACTGAACTCTCACATGACCGATGGCGGCTTGAGTCCCAGATGTGGCAGCTTGCTTTCTCACCTTTTCTCTCTCCCTGCCTCTCTCACTCTGTCCCTCTCTGGCCAAGGTGAAAAAAATAAAATAAAATTGCTTGGGAAAAAATTGCTGGAAATCACAGACAGAATCCCTCTCCAGCTTCTACCCTGCAAAGACCCAGGAAAGAAGTGGGTTACTTACCCCTCCAAGGTTCTGGATAGCTCCTGTCAAAAACTGGAGGTTTTTGCCAGCAGGCAGATCCAAGTAAAAGGACTTTCCAGAAAAGGGCTGTTGCCTAGCACCAAATAAATTCTTCTGGCATCTTCCCAAACAACCAGGAACTCCTAGCCGAGCACCTAGAAAACAATGAAGAGGAGTAACATAAGCTTAGAGTCTTGCTAGTCGGGCAGCCCTCACTGACAGCCCAACTGCATACCGTGCCCTGTAGTAGGCCCTGGGCACACAAAGACAGCTCAGGGTTCGTGCCCCTACCCTCACGAATCTCTCAGACACTGCTAGAGAGAATGTAAACTGGTGCAGCTGCCATAGAAAAGTTTGACAATTTCTCAAAATGTTAACATACCCAAGAGAAAGAAAAACATGGCCAGACAAAAACTTACACACAAATGTCCATATTAGCATTATCTATTAGCCAAAATGGGGGGAAACAATTTAAACAATAAGCAAAATGTGGTGTATTTCTATAGTGGAATACTATTTGGTAATGAAAAGGAATGAAATGTAAGACATGCTACAACAAAACCATGTTAAGTGAGAAAAGCCAGACATAAGAGCACATACTGTATGATTCCAATGATATGAAATGTTCAGAAAAGGCATGTACAGGGACCGACAGGTGGCATGGTGGTTGGGGCCACTGGACTCCCACATGGCCAACTTCAGTTCAAGTCCCAGATCTGATGGCTTGCTTTCTCACTTTCTCTCTCTCTCTTTCTCTGTCTCTATCTGGTCAAGTTAAAAAATAAGTAAACAAATAAAGTTAAATAATTCTTAAAAAAAAAAAAAGGTACATACATAGACAAAAAGTAGGTTAGTGGTTGCTAAGGGTTAGAAGTGGTAATGAGAGGGACCAGCAGTTGACATAATGGCTATGTCGCTGGACTTCCATGTAGTCGACCACAGTTCAAGTCCTGGACCCGGCGGCTTAAACTCCCGCGAGGCGCGTGTGCGTGCATGCCCAAGATCCCAAGAGGAGAATGGAGAAGGGATTGTAGTGTGGCCATCTCTCCTGGGGGGTGATTTCTCACTTTCTGTCTCTCTGTCTCTTTCTGTCTTTCTGGCGAGCTCATGTGCCCCATAGCAAAAACCTCTCAAAAATAAACAAATAAATAAATAAATAAATAAAAAGAAGTGGTAATGAGAAATGATTGCGAATGGGCATGAAGTTCTTTTTGAGTGAAGACAACATTCTAAAATTAGGTTTTAGTGTTACATAACTCTTTAAAAAAAAATCACTGAAAGTAGACACTTAACAATAAATGAACTTGGACGCTAGCATTTGGTGTGATGATTAACGCACTGGACTCCCACATGTCTTATTGCAGTTCAAGTCCCAAACCCAGAAGCTTGAAAATCAAGCCGGACACACACATGCATGCCCAAAATCCTGAGAGGAGAATGGAGGGCAAGGGATTGCAGTGTGGCCATCTTCTGCCTAGGGGGTGGTTACTTAATTTCTCTGCCTCTCTCTCTCTCTCTCTGGTGAACACAGGCGACCTATCACACACACAAAAAAACTTTGATTTTTAAAAAGAATTATTCAATTTAACTTTATTTAGTTATTCTAATTTGACCAGAGAGGGACAGAGAGAGAAAGCAAGAAAGCAAGCCGCCAGGTCCAGGACTCACGGTCGGCCACGTGGGAGTCCAGAGACCTTAACCACCATGCCACCTGCCAATTCCCCAAAAAAATTAAAAAAAAAAAAAAATTTTTTTTTTGTGGTACACATCAATAAAGTTAAATAATAATTTAAAAAACCCACCTCGGTGAACGTACCCTAAATAATTGTGCATTCATTTTCCCAAATTTCACATCAAAAGAGAGAGCAGGTATCTGGCTATTCAAGAGGCTGCTGCAGAAGGACGTCCAGTTAAAGGCCAGGGTAGGCAATGGAGTGAGACATAGCATCTTTTTTTTTTTTTTTTTCTTTTCGGGCGCGGTTTTCCTTTCAGGCGCGTGCGCTCACCAGACACAGAGAGACAGAGAGACAGAAAGCGAGAAATCACCCCCCAGGGAGGATGGCCACACCGCAATCCCTTCTCCTTCATTCTCCTCTCGGGATCTGGGACACGCATGCACATGCGCCCGGCGTGAGTTTTAAGCCACCGGGTCCGGGATGCAAACCGCAGTCGACTACATGGGAGTCCAGCGACATAGCCATTGCGCTAACTGCTGGTCCCAAGACATAGCATCTTAACCTCCACACTACCTGGTGGCCCTTTTACTTCACTTTTTAGTTTTTGCTACAGGATTCCTGTGCTCACCAGAGAGAGAGGGAGAGAAAAGTGAGAAATCACCCCCTAGTGTGGGGGGAACACCACAATCCCTTCTCCTCTATTCTCAGAATTTTGGGCACGCACATGCCCATTATGATTTTCAAGCTGACAGGTCCAGGATTCACCGTTAGCTGTGTGAGATCTAGTGCCTTAACGTCCATACCACCTGCTGGCCCAAATAAAATATAGTATTATCTACACAATAAGGTATTAGTCAAGAATAAAAAGGAAAAGCCATGGCTTCCCCTATCTCATATGGATGAATAATGTGGCATGTGACCTCTCAATAAAGTTGTTGTGAAAAATACACTTTTGGGGCCAGCCAGTAGCATGGTAGTTAGGGCAGCTGGATCTCACAAGGCCAACTGTGCACCCTAGGGAGGGAAATTAGAAAGGAGGAGCAACTTCCATGCCTATAATTTTGGGATAAACCTCAGCCTTTTAAACTATGTATGCATAAAACTGTAATAAAAATAAAACTCTGGGGACCAGCAGTTAGCATAATGGCTATGTCATTGGACTCCCATGTAGTTCACATCCCAGACCTGGTGGCTTAAACTCACGCCAGGTGTGTGTGCATGCAAGTCCAAGATCCCGAGAGAAGAATGGAGAAAGGATTGCTGCGTGGCCATCCCCCTGGGGGGTGATTTCTCACTTTCTGTCTCTTTCTTTCTGGCGAGTGCACGCGCCCTATAGCAAAAACCTCTCAAAAAAAAAAAAAAAAAAAACCCAACAAAACAAAACAAAAAACCTGCAATCCACATATCATTACAGTTTCTTTTCTCCTTTTTTTTTTTAAAGAGGTTTTTGCTATACAGTACATGCGCTCACCAGAAAGACAGAGAGGGACAGAGAGACAGAAAGCGAGAAATCACCCCCCAGGGGGGATGGCCACGCCGCAATCCCTTCTCCATTCTCCTCTGGGGATCTTGGGCAGGAGTTTAAGCCGCCGGGTCCGAGACTTGAACCATGGTTGACTACATGGGAGTCCAGCAACATAGCCATTATGCTAACTGCTGGTCCCTACAATTAATTTTTTAAAAGATTTCATTTACTATTATTATTATTATTTTTAATTTGCTACAGGGCATATGAGCTCACCAAAGAGAAACAAAGTGAGAAAGCAAGTCACCGGTCCAGGACTTTAGCTGTGGTTGGTCATGTGGGAGTCCAGTGCCTTAACCATAGTGCCACCTGCTGGCCCCTTTTCAGTTAACTTTTGATTTAAGGGATTTTTTGTTGTTGTTGTTATAGGGCGCAGGTGCTTGCCAGAGAGATGGAAGTGAAAAATCACTTGCTAGGTGATGGCCATGCCGCAATCCCTTCTCTTAGGATTTTTGGCATGCATGCACACACACTGGGCCTGAGTTTTAAGCCACTGGGTCCACAACTTGAACCACACTTGACTATGGGGGAGTCCAGCAATGTAACTGCTACACCATCTGCTGTTCCCTACAGTTAATTTTTAAAGCAAATATAAAGAGCATAATCTAAAATCTAAGAGAATTCAGGTCACTTACAAAGGAACAAGAATCAGACTGACATAAATTCTTAACAGCTTCTATTTTTCTGAGGAAATACTTAATTTTTCAATGTGTTAAAGGAAAAAAAATAAACTCGACTCAAAGATTAAAGACTTCCTCAGGTCAGCAGGTGGCATGGAGGTTAATCCCACATGGCCAACTTGGTGGGTTCAATCCCAGACCCAGAGGCTTGAAAATCATACCAGCACACATATCTGCCCAGAGAAGAATGAGTTGCCGTGTGGTCATCCCCTCAAAGGGTGATTTCTTACTTTCCCTCTTTCTCTCTCTCTTTTTTTAGTTTTTAAAATTTATTTAATTTTATTTATTCATTCATTTATTTTAATTTGACCAGAGAGAGACAGAGAAAGAGAGAGGGCAATGAAGAAGGAAAGCCACCAGGTCTGGGACTCAAACCGTGGTTAGCCATGTGGGAGTGTCCAGCGCCTCAACCACCATGCCACCTACTGGTCCCCCCCTTTTTTTTTTAGTTATTTTTTTGTCATTGGGTGTATATGCCTACTGGAGAGACAAATACAGGGAAAGTGAAAAATCATTCCTCAGGGGATAGGGCCATGCCAAAAAACCTTATCCTCCACCCTTTCCTTGGGATTTTAGGCATACATGTGTACATGCCTGGTGTGATTTTCAAGCTTCTGGGTTCAGGACTCAAACTGTGTTCAGCCATGTGGAAATCCAGTGCCTCCATCAGCATGCCACTTGCTGGACCCATTCTGCTCTCTGTCTTTCTCCTGTGAGCCAAGCACCTTACAGTACACACACACACAAACACACATACACACACACAAAGATACTTTCAGGCATACAAGCCTTAGGAATTTCATCACACAAAGTTCTATTTGTTTAGTTTTATTTTTAACTTGCTATCACTGGAGGGAGGGAGAGAGGGAGAAAGCGAAAGAGATAGACAAAAATGAGAAAGGATGGCGTGGTGGTTAAGAAGGATGGATTCCACATGGGGCACATTGAACCACAATGTTCAAGAACCAGACCCAGGGACCAGCAGTTAGTGTAATGGTATGTCGCTGGACTCCCACGTAGTCGACCACGGTTCACGTCCTGGACCCGGTGGCTTAAAACTCCCACTGGCGTGGGACCAGCCGGGGGGGGGGTCG